ACTGGAACTATACATACGAAGGACATGTTGTTATTGACTCTTTGGTAATGACTGTTACTAAAATCATCCCTCACAAAAGTGACTACAAAAGAACGACGTACTTATTCATTTGTACACAACCATTTTCAACTACGGGGACGAACTAGGTATTGGCGAAGGATCATTCAGGTTGAACGGTTCGTTGCTTCCCGTGGACAAAGACATTAGTAGTATACATGATTACGAAGCTTATGAAATTTTCAAGTGTAACTCACTTAGTTAGTGACGCCTTCTATTTATAATGCACTTCTTTGAAGAGGCTTCACTAGACAGTTATTACACAACCATCAAATCACATCTAACACTTAATTTGACAATCAACTGGTATCATGGTATAAGGTCTAATTGTACTTTAATGACCTAAACTTGTTCCATAATTTATCACAATTGTAAATTTTAATGATGGTGTACCATTTTCTCTTATAAATTCCTGACTTTAGTTGTTGGCAATAAATTTTCATGAGTCACTTTGTGTCTTAATTGTAGTATGGTCATCTAAGATTGTTACATACTTCAAAAAATTGAAGCACCCCTTGGCAATGAACTATGGCTCACAAAGATCATGCATCAACCATAAATTCGATGAGAATTCCTAAAGACGTTGATTCACTGGATTACAACATTCAAACAATACCCCCATTTTAACATGGATAACATAGGCAACATTTTCCCAATTGACAGAAAATTTCGTTATTCACGGTTCATCTGTCGGGATAACAGCATCCATCGAGAAATACAACGAGTAACTGTCGAGAACGACAGTTCAGCACGATGCCACGTCTCTACTGAAGTGAAATGTCGAGAAATCTACTCTTGTCCTATAATTAAATAGATATTTTTTAAGATATAATTACTCCATAATGAATTAGGCAGAAACATTAAAAGTACAAACTTAACGATGTCTCCTAAATTCAACAGTTGACATAAGAAACAACAAGCGTAACAAATGTAGCGTACAAAAGAAATAATCACAAATACATCAACATCCACCGTACATTCCAAAGTTACAAAACGAGTATTGTTCATCATACTATCAAACAAATTTCTTTGAAACTAATTCTTGACTCTCTTCTTCCTTCCAGGACATGTCGATCGCTGCATCTTCATGTTAACTGCATCCCCTGGTGTATGGAGTCCTGGAATGCTCACTATCTCTACAGTTACGTGAAGCGATCTTGAGATTAGGGTTCAGTCTGGACTGATTTTTCCACAAATTTAAATTTTGTGGACCAATTTGCATGACACCAAATACAGCCTTCAGAAAGCCCCAATTGCAATATAGGATGAAAAACATCAGAATGCTAAAATCACATACCTCCTCATAAATGTAATCACGATATCATATCGAAAAGTACATAGAACAGGAGCATCCACAAATAAATCAGCAACAAGATAAAAACATCTTCAATCACTTTGGCCCTTAAATCAACCAAACTGTTACTGCTGTCTATTGACCAATGATGATGAAACCCAGCTGGAGAATGTTTTGCAATATACTATAATTTTAACACTCATTTCATTCTCAGATAAATGTTGATATTATGATGATGATGATGAGATGTAATATGCACACACTACGAGGCAACAAACTGAAGTTCTGAACCAAGCACAAATCTGTAACAAAAATGTTAAAATTATGGACCAGAAAAAATTAAAGCTGAAACAATAAATCAACAAACGAGGAATCTATTATTTATCCTTTTTTATGCTATTTGCTAATTGTGAAGAATAAAAATCTCCGTGATGGATACATGGATGTAATCTTCTAACACTAATTATTCTTAACTGAGAACTAAGAAGTAACAGAAGACACATTTCAATAATTTTTCTGTGTCGAACAATTAATATGAAATGCATGCAATAATTTGAGTCCATACCGAAAATAAGAAAAAGAACAGAAATTACATAAATGCATAATGCCATCTTCCTAAGATGCATTTGACTAGCAAATTGAACTTAGGTAGGGCAATGGCAATCAACATTGTGCTTTATTAGAAGTGCAAAGTAATCTATTTAGGAACATGCAAAAATCACGTAAGCAAACTTCTCATTAGTCATTACCATCGAAGTGAAAGAAGTGTATAACCATTTCTTCTAGAGTCATTTGCACTCGGCTATTTATCTGCTTTCCCTGAGCGGATAAAAAAAATGTGAGAGTGAGAAAGAGAATGTTAAATAAAATCACAAATCCTGGGCAACACGAACCATTTTTTTCCTCTTCCTCTTTTCAACATCTTCTTGAATGTTGGGATTTCTTTCTTTCTTTCTGATTACCTATTCCATCTACTACATGTGCTCCAGAACTTTGAGAAGGTATACTGGTTGGCACATCCAAAAACCTTGCTAAATCTTTAGGGATAGAGCAATTGCCTGCACAGGAAGCCAATGATAAAGTATTTGATAATAAAAGCTAACATGCAAAATTTGTCTGATACTCGTGTAAATTGTAATCTAAACAGCCATCAATCAAATATTATTGCTGAATAATAAACCTGCATCAGGGCAGCATCATCATCTAAACTGGAGGCAGTAAATTCTTGAACATTTTAATTGTTGTGATTGCATATTTTTAACATATTCTGACTCAATATAACCACATTTTTACCCTGTGAAATGCCGTTGATATATTTGACTTAAAACAACCATGAGATTAGGAACATTTGTGTTGTCACTTGTCCCCCATGTGCAACAAGCATCTAGAAATACAGCAATCAAAAGGCATTTTTTCTATAGACGATAGCACGTTCATGAGAAGGCATGACATAATGTCCTCATCTGCAACCTTTTGATACATCATGGCCATCAAATAATGCATTTTGCAGAAGATTCTGCATTTTCTATTATCTACATTGTTAGAAACTAGATATTTTCTATGACAGGCATATCACTTTGTAAAGTCTGCACATACATAAATAGAATTTGCAAATTCCATTTAGTTGTTCAGGTGGCAAAAAATTCGTTTGCTAATAGTTTGACATATATTATACAGTAAATTGGATAGTGCTGTTTATTTCCACCTTTCAAATGTAATACAACATATTCAGTTAAATGAAATCAATTATCTTTTAGTCTCATAGTTTTCTTTCCAGTTAAATGCAGCCCTAGCAATCAAATCTCTACTTAAACTTATCAATCTCACATTCATTAATGGTATGGAAACCTAATAAACCCATCCTGCAGTCTTGACTCGCCTAGTGAAGTCAAATCATCCTAACAGCAGCAAAGATAAATAAAATAAAATTAAATTAAATTAATAATGACAAAATGTAAACTGCGAATATGAACTTATTTAGGGTCATGGAAGGAGAGAGAGCCCAAAATTTCGTGAAATCATCTTCATAGTATCTTAGATTTTCTAAAATTTTCAGAGTTTCACAGAGTGTAAAAATTTTCTATAAAATACCCAAGGCCGAACGCTTTGCACTTCATATAGTAGATAATGTTTATAATTTATCTTCAAAAACTAGGTCATCTAACTCACATTTGCAGCAATCTAACTTCTACAGATGCAACATAATACAATTAAATAATCAGATAAAACAAGATCCACATATATACCATTAAATAATCACAGCATTATAATTTCACCAAGTTGAATTAGTGCCTTAATCTTGACATAAAAAATGCTAATAATATCTTTCTGTGAGTGTGAGAAAAAAGACAAAAGGAGATTACTTTTCCCTTTTGAGAGCCAGAAAACATCTCATCATCACTCCTCTCCTCTTCACTTGAAGAACACGTTTCCTCTTCAATCTCGCTTGGCTTATATTCTTCATCTTCATCGACCATTTTGCGTTTGGCCTTTTTCTCACTCTTCTTTTTATGGGATTTCTGGACAGAACCCATGAAAATTTGTAATTTTATGCAAACCCTAGGCCTCCATTCCGTTCTTTTTCTCCTCAATCCTCTTCAACCTCTGCAACTCATGATCAGATATTTTTTCTTCGCTTCTTGGGGTTTCTTTTTCAGATTCTTCACCTGATGAGTGTCGTCAGTCGTGGGAGAGAGGACGGACGGAGAGTGTGGGAGACTGCTGCGCCATGAGTGTGGCCAGACAAGAAAGAGCTCAGAGGAGAGGAGAAATGGGATAAGGGTTATAATTTCATTGGGTTAATTTCATAAATGGTCACTGAAGTTACACCAAAATTTCAAAATGGTCACTGAAGTTCGAAAATTGCATTAACGGTCACTCAACTTTCATCCACTTTCAAAAATGGTCACTGAGGTAAATTTTGGGACTTTGTTGTTCTAATTGAAACCTAAATGAACAAAACACGGTCCCTTCAAAATTTGAGGACCAGAAGTGCAATTCCCTTTTTATAAAACACCAAATCCTATTTTTTTCCTCTTGAGAAAGGGCGATTTTGCCCTTTTTCCACCAAAAATGCATCCCAACTCCGGCGAGCTCTGGCCACCAAAGCCGCCGGACATTAACACCGGTCGACAGCCCTCAACTCCAGCTTCACATACCACCAAACATCACCTAATTCCAACAACTACAGTGGTCGAAATCTGTGTGCAAACTTCACTGCCTTCCAAACTGAAAATCGTCGGGAATCATGCTTCTGGCTACCCCCCATGGTCGGAACCCACCTCCAGCCAACTTCCCTTCACCAGGTGACCATACCCATGCCAACAACTCATTACAAACAACAGCAAAAAATGTCAATTGCAACCAAGAAATTTCACCAGTCGCGGGAAGGAGTTCCGTGTGATGAAATTGATGATGCTGTGTGATGAAATTGATGATGGTTTTGTGTGTATTGTTCCAAACTCTACCATTCCTACCTCTATTGAAGGTCATAAGATCATAGGTCCACTGCCAATTGAAAGATTGAATGATCAATCGAGCCCTAATTTTGCTTCATTTGTGAAATTAAAAAAACACGCACTTTCTGCGAGTGCTGATTCTCTATTTTATGTGAAAGATCGATTTTTGCGTGTTTACGAGTATTCAAGACATGCAATTAATCTGCTCAGATATTGATGGAGGATCGTATGAGATCTTGGAGAATGCAGGTCATCTACCTCTTGCATATATCACTGCTTCAGTCCATGGACTCCACGATATTGCTAATCGGTTAGCTGTGGAACTAGGGGATGATGTTCCTTATTTGCTTGAGGGGAAGAGAGCTTCTCTTTTATGCCCCCAAGTCCTGTTTTATGTGCTGGAGATTGGCCTTTATTAATGGTCAGTAAAGGAATATTTGAGGGTGGTCTTGATAATACAGACAGAAGTGCAGAAGAGGATTATGAAGAGGCTGCAGACGCCGATTGGAGTGAGGCTTTGGATATTGGCGAAGTGGAAAACATGCAAAATGGAGATATTAGTATGGTTCTGGGGGAAGAGGACGTGCACGTAGAAACTGAGGAGGGTAGATGGAGCCTTTCGACATTTTGTGGCTATTCTTCAGACAATTCCATTTAGGCACCGTTTGGTAACCATTATTCTAGAAAAAAATGTATTCTTTGTGTCAAATCACACTTTTTTTTGTGGTTGAAAATGAAGGAAAAGTTATTGATGTGATGGAAAATATTATTTTATTGATGAATGTGTGGTTGAAAATTAGTAGAAGAATGAGAATGAAAAAAAGAATGGTTACCAAACGGTGCCTAATTGTGGTTGAGACACGAAGAGAGATGGATGAAGTTAAAGAGTTAATTATCACTGTGAAGGAATACGTTCTGGGTTTGCAGATGGAAATTAAGAGGAAGGAATTGACTGACAATCCAATTCGTCAGCAGGAATTGGCAGCTTATTTTACCCACTGCAAGCTCCAACTTCCTCACCGGAGACTTCCACTGGTGAGGAATTGGCCTGCTTAAGCAAAACAGGCAAAAATATGGTTGGAAAAAAAAATTAAGCAAAACTGGCAAAAAAAAAAAAAAAGGGTGCACGTCAATTTGGTGTTTTATTCAAAGAGAATTGCATTTTAGGCCCTCCAATTTTAAAGGGGTGCTCTTTTGTTCATTTAGGTTTCAATTAGAACAAAAAAGTCCCAAAATTTACCTCATTGACCATTTTGAAATTTTGGTGTAACTTCAGTGAATTTCATTTTATATCATATATTTAAAAAAAAAAATTCAAAATCTATGCCCTTGGTCTATCCCTGCAATTGTGAGGTGATTGATTTTTCAATTTTTTCCACTTTTTAAACAATTTTTTGGAGTTGTCAACTCAAGAATGTGTTGGGTATTTAAATTCTTTAAATGGACAAAAATGTCCAAAAATGACAATCTTGCAAAGTCTTTAAAAAAGTGACATTTTTGAAAATACAAAGCCAAAAAATGACATTTAGTACAATTTCCTCTAATTTAATTATATAATAATTGTGACTCATTTTGGACATGGCGATGCCACGTGTATAGGGCCACATCAGCATGTGCTTCCTATCGCAATGAGAGCACATGGCACATATAGGGCGACGTGGCCCTTTACGTACAACATTACTCTTTTTGACAAATGCTTGATACATTCAAATAATTAGGAAATTTTATTGTATATTTTTTTTTTGTTGTAAATAATATATTTATTAGTGAATGATAATTATACCCCTACAATCCTAATTATTATTATCATTGTATCTCTTGCATGATTGCATTCCTAATTCTGCCTTACAAATATGGAGATTTGGTTGTCGATAAAATATACCAAGTTTATTGACTTCCCCGTTCTTCTCTCTTTTCCTCTCTATTTTATAACACAATATGCTTTAATTCAATTTTTGGCCACACTTATTTTCATTTTCATTTTAAATATTATATTTACTTAATAATTCTTACGATCAATTAATTATACAATTTTGAAGTTTTGAAGTTGTAAAAACTAGAAAATTTTTAATAGTTTCAATTTTCAACTAAACAAGTCATATTTCATAGATTTATAAGAATCTCATACATGCTTTCGAAGTTTTCAACAAAATAATGAGTTTCAAGATCATAATTACATAATGTAGATATTACCATAACTTAAATCTTGTTTAACCCTATATCAAATAAAGTCATTTTTAACTTTTATACAAATAAAATTTTGGAAAAATTGCAGCAACTATCCCTAACCTTTCATTTTTTTTTGTAAATTTTACCATAACATTTAATTTGTGCCAACAAAGTCCCCAACATTTCAAAAATATGTAGCTAGAGTCCAAATGGATGGAAACCATACATATGACTAACAAAAGTGGACTTTGACTAATTTTGACTAATTTGAAATTGGTAACGTGGTAACTTTGTTATTTTATACATAAAATAAAATAATTTAAAAACTAGAAATAGAATAAAACAAAATAAACTAAAAAGAAAAAGAGAGAAAAAAAACTGTTAGCATCACCACCCACCCATCGGCGGCATCACCGCAGGCACAACATCCCTTCCCCTTCCCCTCCATCACCACAACCACCATCAAATACCACACCTAAACTTTAACACCACCATCATAGAATCCATACGTCAAAACCACCAAAAAATTGTCATCACCTGACCACCATCTCGACACCTATTTACACCACCATAATGACTTTTTCTCATCTCACGACAAGCACCAACACTACATAAACTCATGAAAGGGACACCGATTTCACAAAATCTAAAGTGAGAAAATGAAAGATATAAAAAAATATATCTATTGTTTATCCCAATTTTGTTGAAATACCATCATCAAATTGGACGTCCGGATTGTGAGAGTCGACTGGTGATAGTCCGAGACTGTGGGTGTGATCGGAGGAGTTGTCGGCAATTTTTTAGTTCGCGAGTTGGGGGGTTTTTGGTGGTTATTCTAACGACATCTAGTGGAGTTTGGGATGGGTGGAATGTGTAAAGGAAAATGAGGGCTTTCTGGTGATGTGTGGATCGATGATTTGGGTGGTGGTGTCGACGGCGGGGATGTTGTGCTAGTGGTAGAGCAGTCTCTAGGTTTGGTTTTGGGATTGGGGGTGGGGAAGGTCGGGGTGGTTTTGGTTTTTAAATTTTTTGTTTAATTATTTTGTTTTAATTGTTTTATTCTTTAAAATATAAATTTACTATTTTAACCTTTTAAAATTGGTTAAGATTCGGTTAATCTTTTGACTATTGGTCAACAAATGGTTATTCCATCCATTTGGACCACACCTAGGTATTGTTGAAATATTATCAACCTTCGTTGGCACAAATTAAAAGTTAGAGTAAAGTACAAAAATTGTGAAGGTTAGGGACTAATGCTGCAATTTTTTCTAAACCTTTTAAAAACTTGGAATTAAAGTCAAATGAAAATTATTTTAAAAAATAATAAACTAAATTCAATTAAAAAGACTTTTTTTAAAAAAATTTAAAAATTAATAAAGCATATCTAAAAACGAAATAGAGGAAGGAAAAAATTCAGCCTTTTATGAATTGAAAAAAAGGCCTAGCATTTTGCTTGAGCTTCGAGCCAAGGAGAGCTTTTTAAAACACTGATCCAATGTATTTAAATTTTTAATAGAAAAAAATATAATAATTTTAAGGGAAACTAATGAAAATAAAAGAGGAAAAAATAATAAATATTTTTTGAGTGTAATAAAATTAAGTGTTAATTATAAAAAATTTCTTGGAGTAGTTAAAAATTTTTACTTTCTAAATTGTAAAATATATTCTTTAAAAATAGAGAATCTTTTAGAGATGCACTACGATAAATAAATCTCGAGAATAATATGACAATAGAATATACTTGTAACATAATATTCTCGATGTAATATTTTGTTTTAATTTTTTAATTTGGTTTTAAAAAATCATACAGTACATATGTATATCGGTCAGCTTCAAAGAGTTGTCAAACTGGACCAGCACTAATGGGAAAATTGCAACTATTTGTTTGATGAGTGAATTGTTTCAAAAATTATTGAACTTATACCATGGTGACGGATTGCTCACCAAACTTTATTCTTTTCACAATACTCAATCAACTTTACCCACTACATCCATCACCCTGAAAAATTTGTGTAGTTAGTAGCTGATATAACAGACGAAATTCTGATGTGGTATCTAACATTTGTTAAATTTGAACAAAAATGACCTCTTTAGCACAATCAGCATTAAAATAATAATAATAATAATAAATAAATAACCCAAAAACCTTTTCTCATTTAAATTTACTTGTGATTTAAATTTTTTTTCTCATCTATGACATCTCTAGAATAATCTTCTACACAATCTTCACTGTTCTCGCCATAACAAATGCTACATTGCAACAAATTCAAAATTCATTAGCCAAGAACTCGGTTGCAGGATCCTCAAACTCAGTCCATATCAACTCCAACTCAGTTCTTGTTCTCGTGGAAAAATCATTTTTTTCTTGCAAATCCTCAAAAAGGCAAGTTTCGACACATAATCTTATAATCTCTGCTCCTGGGAATGAGGCTTCGGAAAGGGATTTGGATCCCGACTTCAAGAAGTTTTTGCTCGAGCCAGGGAATCTGAAATCGCTTCAAAATCTGATGCTTTTTCATAAGATTCCAATTTGCATTAAATTGACTCGTTGGCCTGTGAAGGTACAAAAAACCCAATAACCATAAACAGCTTGCTCCGATTTTCCAATGGCGAAACACTTCGGTGGTCGAAATTGTATGTTGATAAACACAATTTTTGCTGACTATGCTAAAGATGCATTTTTTATTCAAATTTAATGGACGTCAGATTCCACATCAGAATTCCTTTTGCCACATCAGCGACTAACGAAATGGATTTTTCAGAGTGATGGATGGAGTGCTAACGGATAATGTTGTGTGAGTATTGTGAAGAAGAATGAAATCTGATAAGCAGTTCATGATGATGATATAAGTTCAATGATTTTTGAAACAAATCACTCTTTGTTTGATTGTGTTTGGCACTACAAATCAATAATCAAAATTGTGATTAGTGATCACTAATATCAATGATCATACTTCCAAATGTGAAGGAAGTCCAATCTAAGCCCCCATCATTTGTTAGTATTATAATTTTTGGAATAGTATTTTTTTTTAAAGATTGTGTAGTTTAAAAAAAAAAAAATTTCAATACGCGTGTAATATTTTTTTATTGGAAAATGTGTGATTGATAAAAAGAGATAAAACAATGAATTATAATTTTAATGGGGGCTAATTGTATGTAATATTTTAATGAATGTTAAAATCTAAAAGGTAATAATAATAATAATAAGTGTGAGAACACAAGCCTATACGCAATGAAACCTTTCAATTTTTCGGGCCTATACGCTACAAAGACCTTTCAATTTTTCTTTTATTTCTATGCAGCTAAAGAATCCCTCGAAGTTGCATTATTTCTTGACCTCAACTTTAATTGGATATTTTCACATTTTACACGTCAGATGCCACACCTTAGTAATGATTAATGCAAAAGAAAGATAATTAGCTTATAAATTCATAGTCTATCTAACAAATTTTTGTATTTTTTTATTGAGTAATGTTATGCATCTCCAATGAGTCAAATAATTTTCGACTTTGTTTTGCTATTTTTCCCTAGTGTTAATGGTACCATCTAGTACACTTTCGATAAAATTTTCATGACATCAACGAGTAAAGATACATATCGATTGGATTCAACTCACTCACTATGCTAGTGAAGCGACTTGTTGGCCGTTAGATGAAGCCGTAAATGGACAACCTCAAATTCCACAAAATTATCTTAGGTTGATCCCTTGCAGATTAAGACATTTATAGATTAAACATTTTACGTTAAAATTTTTATATATATAACCAAATTGCAAAGCACATGAGAGACGTAGGCAGACTTGAGGGACGGATTGTTTAAGAGTTTAAGGGGAAAAAAATCATAAATATAAAAATTCATTTCATACCATTATACATTTCTATATACTG